CGTTTTACAACCGCCCGAGTTAAACCCCCCGCTCCGGAGGAGGCCGGTCGTGCTGGGCGGCAGGTCTGCCTCCCGCAGATGGGCCCCGCGCCTGCCCAAAGTGCGACCCAGCACAGCGAGCCCTGCCCAAAGCGCGGCGTCACCCGGCAGCGCTTCCCTGCGCCAGGTTTGGTTGCAAAGTCCTCGCTGGCAGAGCCTAAATCCCTCCGGGACCATGATACTCCATGCCTGGGCTGGAAGATGAGCTCCAGGGATGTACAGGGGCCGTTAAACCCATCTAAGGGTTTAATGCGGCAGCAGAGGTCCCAGCACTCCCCAAAACCAGCAGGATTCGCAGTCCCTCCTGTGGCCCAGGGGCACAAGCCACTGTCACAAGAGCTTTGGCCAACGATTCTCCCATAGCCCAAGTGGGGAGGACTTGGGGACCACCCCAAGTGCCCCCAGCAGTGGGAGCATCCCCCTCCTGGATGGAAAGCAGCAGACGGTGCTGTGGATTTTCTCCCCTCCCTCTGCAGGCACGGAGAGGGCAAAGGCCGCCGCAGCGCACCCTGGCCCATGCGGAAACGGCGCCAGGGCTGCCAGCGTTAAAAGAAAAAACCATTTCGCTGCATAACCAGCTTCCCCGACCAGTTTTTCTTTCCTTATCAGCGCTCAGCCCCATGTCGTGATGTGGCACAACCTGCTTCTTTCCTCCCGGAAAACTCCCAGGCTGCAGCGTGCTGAAATCTCCGGCCCCAGCACGAGGGTTTGTGGGGGGGCTCTGCTTCCCGCGCTGTGCAGCCGCCCATCTGCCCCAGCAGAGAGGAAATGGCTTTTGCTTTTATCAAACCTTTTCTGCTGAGCTCGGAAAAAACCCATAGATCGCACCCAGAGCAAAAGCCAGCCAGCACAAAGCAGATCTGAAAGCGGGGGGGGGAGCTTTGCAGTGAGCCCCCCAAATCCACAGGTTGCCCCAACCTGCTCTGCTGTGGCTTGAGAAGTGGCAGGCTGGAAAACCCTGACGATCTATCCTCATAAATCCCAAAGGACCGATTTCTGCACCGTCCTCTCAAGGCTCCACAACGCTGCCCCGCCTCGGGGCCACCGTGCCCCCACCATGCCCACGGTGCCACGCGCCGCTGTGCCCTGCGACGCCGCGCTCGTGGGCGAAGGGCTGGGAGAGCTTTTGGGGATGTGGTAATAGGGAGCCTGTGGGGCTGCCCCTGGGATAGGGCAAACCCCCGGGGATGGGGTGGACTCGTTTGGGACGGGGAAGGCTCCCAGGGGATGGGGGTGCAGCTGCCGGGAGGGGCTGAACCCCCAGGGGCTGGGCTGGGCCGTGCTCCGGGGAGATGGGGTGCGCGATCGGGGGCTGGGGAAAGCCCCTGGGGACGGAGCAAGCCCCGGGAGATGCCGTAAGCCCCGGGGGATGCCGTAAG